TATTTATTATGTTTTTAATGATGTTTCATTAGAAACGAGCTTAATAATCTTAAGCTATATGTAGACAAAGTTTATGCTAATAGTGTACGCTCATTCTATTTTCAGGTTATGTACAACAATTTTCGAACGTACGGAACGGTTCTTCTTATAATCATGACGTTCATCGTCTGGATTGGGGTCGCGTTCGTATCAAAACTGGCCCCCATTGCACTATTTTGCGTCCTTGCCTCCATTCTCTCCGTTTTCGTCGGTGCCTTCGTCAACTTCGATGGGAAAACCGACCTTCTGTAAGTAGCCGCAATTAATAAGCCCAGTGACGAATCACCGTGCGAAAAATAATCTATGTGTGTATGTGTATGTATGACAACAGTAGCTACGTGTACACAGCAGGAAATGCATGGCCTTTCCTAATTCAATGGGTGGGATAAACAGCGAAAGGTACGGCCGTAAATCGGACTAACTATGCACCAACATGAAACTAATCTTGCCGGTCGATCGTACGCATCCTCAAACACGCGTATCCACCAAACTAGCAATCTCACATACACACACAAAGAAAGATAACAAAACATCTCTGAAGCACACTGCTCTTGAGTACAAGATCACAGACGGATTCCCTTTCCTTTGGCGCGATGCAGTGCCCCCCACATACGCACACACACACCCCCACACACACACACACCCACACGACGATCCCCTCAGCGAAAAAACATGAAAGCATATTTGATCAGTAAGCTCTAGCGTTTCACTATCCGTGCTTATTCACTCTAATCATAGAACTCTATCATTACTGCTGCCATGCTTGAGGCGTTTACGTGTAATCGTACATTGGTTTCGTCAATGGCAGATTTTGCTGGCTTACATGCTAGAACGAGACTGGAAACGAATTGAGAAGAGCAGATATTCATTTGGACTCTTCATGTGAACAAGGACAAACGTCGATAATGTAACAATAGTGCACGCATCGATATATCGGCCTGTCCTTCTAATGAAGTTCAGCTTTGACACCGTTGCTACCCCCAAAAGCTTGTATCACTGTCATAAGATATGCTTGAGCATGGTCATTGCATAGAATTGAAGATGATTAGAAGCAGCAGGCAAAACTTGGATTTCGGTCCTTAGCAAAGACATAGTAAATAGTTAGATAATGTTACGTAGATAATAGTTATCTATAATAACATTCATAGACATAATAGAAAAAGAATCCAAATTGGACGTAAATATTTAGTAGAAAATTTCGTATTTTCGGCTATTCTGTATTATGTGGCAATATCTAGTCGTCTTAGTATTGATTCCAGCGTACCTTCATGCAACACAATATGTATAAAATTAGTTGGCTGTTCGAGCACCGTATACGTACGAAGACATAGTTCTCGATCGAACCTATTTTTTAGTGTTAGAAACACAGACACGATGCGTTGAAACAGAGAGGATTTTCGCGGGCCGTTTGTCATAAGGAGAATGCGTTTATCCCTTATGCTTCTCGCATCCGAAAAGCGCCAGTACTTTCTATCATCAAGGAACATGCATAGCAAGCAATAATGCGTCTTTTCCAGAGTTTAAGCTATTAGCTATTGTATATAGCTGTATATATATATATATATAGCTATTCTTATATTATATATTTCTATTATAGATATAACTATTCTACAGTGGGCGAGCCTGTACCAAGGCTTAGAACTATTTTTTGCTTAAAATCGACGGCCTACAACATTGTTGCCGTTTTCATTCAACTTTTGAAAGACAGTCCAACCAATAGGGCAAACCGACAGATTCTTGATCTAATTTAGATCTGAGGGGCTCAGAAACTTAACTTTGCTTTATGTTTAAATGTAAGTTTTTTTTATTTAAAAAATTAACAGCCGTTTTAGACAAGAGTATATCAATTGCCAGTTGGGCTTTCGAGACAAGTTCTAATAATTAGTTTTCTTCTAAAGGTTTTTACGCCTTTTTGCGACCTTCGAACTTTTTAGCCATTTAGAGTTCTTGCATGTTTGGATGCTACGTAACCCAAGGTTTCATTCCATTCAAGTATTTTCCATGTGAAGCGTTTAAGCAAAATTTCAATAAGTTTACCTCTATCAATATCGCTTGATGAATGGCTACTATTGAAAAGGTATTTGGAAATTCACGAAAAAAGGTCTGCTAAAAATTAGTAGTCAGTGATTTAGGTTTTGAATTGAACCTGTAATTGTGGTAAGTGGTACTTATATCGACGGAGCCCAGCCATCAGGGATGGGAGTTTTGGCACATGTAAAAAAAGATTGTCGGAATATACGTGGAATATACGTTTTTTTTAGAGGCAATCCTAGCAACAAAACGTAAGAAAAAAAGTCATAGTTTAGAGAACACTAAAAACTGAACCATGTCTCGCTACGGCCGGCCTGTATTCTATTTGGCTGTTAGAAGCATATCTGGTTGACTTTGGAATGGAATAACTCTTGAGTAAGTTGAGGTAGCATGATGATCTTTAATATGTATTACTTCTTCTTTATTTTATGTATTTGTCAGAGTGTTTTGGCTGCTTGGAAGCCGATCGATGCTGGGATACGCATGCTTACCTTCTTAGGGAATAGGATGCTCCGCAGTCACATGGACTTGGATCAGAGAAATAAGTGGATTGATAGACATTCCTTTGCTCAATCTAAAGAGTAATTAAGATAAAACTACGATGTTTAGCGTTTCATCAAATAGGTCGACTACGTGCTTTTTACTATCGTGCACACGGTTTGTGAGTCTCTTGAGAAACTCGAGATAGCAGGATGCCATCACTGTCTCATTTTTAACGAGTATCCCATAGTGGTAGATGCTTCTAGCGTTTATGGCAAGCACTATCATTATCGTTTTACATTCGAACTTACTCGACACCGTTACTGGACTCGATTTCTCTTCGTACGACGATATGCTCTCGCGATATGGTCCCGCTTTGGTTGGGGGTAAAAATTAAGCCATGCCTCCTTTATAGCGGCCATATGCTCCGGGCGGACTTTTTAAGTTGGATAAAGTTACGCAAGTTGCACCTAGAATACACCGCGCGCATTTTACACTGGCCTGGTATTATTTCGAATCCGTTGTTTATTCATATGTTGCTGCGTCTGGGTCAGAATTTTGCAATAAGATGTCAAATGCCAGTTTTTGTGCAGCTCTCCCCAGTTGCGGTAACGCTTTTTTATCTTTCTGGGGTCCCGATATCTGGTTACCTTCTCGCTGGGTCGCTACTACGCTAATCTCCGTTTTTTGTACCATTCTTCTCCATTTGCGTACCGTTCTTTTTATTAAAACCTTTTTGGATAATATTTTTGGTTTTCTTCACTCGAAGAATGAAAAGTTGGCCATTAAGAACTGATTTTAGAAACTAAAAGGTGTTTTTCCTTATGAACCCCTTTCTTTGGAGGTAAGCTTAACCGATTTTCACTCGTAAATTTCTGGAATACCGGACTTCCAACCAGATTTCCTGAGGTGTGTAACTTGAAAACTATTTAATTTCGAAGTCAGTTGGATTTGCTTGCGACAGCCTGATACTCTTCCTTGAAATAGAGACGCTTCATGCAGTCGTATATGGACGTACGGATACGTGTATTAGAAAGAGAAACTGTAACTTCGTGTACTTATTAGATGTGTGAACGTTTGTTTTGTATGAGTTTTATCGATGAAGGAACTAAACAAAGTGCAACGTGAAACGTTTAAAAGGACGACGCCTGTAACAAGTAGCTAGAGATGTTTTGTAAATGCCTGCCCACAGCGTGGCAACAACGAACTCTGGTTTACCCTGATAGGCATATTTGATACATTTGTTGAATTAATTTATTGACAAAGAAAATAAAAACGTTTCCTATTATTCTGGATGACACTTTTGGGCACCCATGAAACAATACTCGCAGCAAAAAGAATTCTCTAATACTTTTTAGATTTATCGTAGCATCTCCCTGTTCCATGGTCATTTAGGTTTCTCACGTATTCTTCGATTGGCACTTTTTGTGCCGCTGTCACTTCTCAAATTCTGTCGAAAGCCATTTCGGATTAGGTAAAACGTTGAGCGAGTAAGGAATAAAATTTAAATCTTCGGGATTTTATGGAAATATCTGGGATATGGGACTTATGGGGAAATTATCCTATTTTGACCAATACCGTTTATATTATTTTTCGCTTTAACATACATAGTAGTCAACTGTCTGCAAAATAGTATTAGGAACGGCCAAAATCGGCAACGAATCCCCAACAGCGAAAACAAAAAGTTCTCTTGTAAAGCACCAGGGATAAGCGTCCATCTAATATAGGCGAGGCCAGACGGAAAAAATGGCCCTCCTTTGAACCACTTCTCGCTTGCTACGTTATTCGCTTAAAGCTTTATCTGTCCGTTTGCGCCCGTAAATATAACGCATGAGCGGAAAAGAAGCGAGAACTATTTCCGCGGATAGCGAGCGGTCTTTGAACTACTGTATATACTCCCAAACGAAAAACTTTTCCAGAAGCTCCTAACTGAGATACGGTAAATTAAATATTTGACAATTGCGACAAAGATAATCAATCCACTGCTGCTTTGAAAACGACCTAAACGGTATGATAGTTGCTTGTTCCTCGTTTGAAAGCGATACGATTGCCCCAACCAAGATTTGCTCACTTTCTGGATATAGCGGTGATAGTGAAATTTGTTTGACTTCGTGTGTATCGTCCTCCACACACGACCGCCAATGAAATTTCTATTTGTGGTAAGGACGAAATCGAGGATGGATTTGAAAACGTTAGACCCTTTAGCCTTGGGATACACTCGACTGCACACGACCATATACATAATAAACACAGAATACGAAGGTTGACGCAGTGATCTAGTTTCTACTTATGGCTTGGTCCTTTGGCTGTAATAACTCATAGATAGTTCCTTATTCAATGCAGATTACTCTTGGCTCCTCATTTAGGCGTCCCCCGTAGAATATGTCTAACGTTCTAAGTGTCGTAACGTAAAAACGTGAAAAAAGCGTCTGTCTGGCTAGAAAAATAAACTGCAAAGTTTTAGTTCTCCATTTTCGCCATTTCGTTTGTATATATATATATATATATATATATATATGTATATATAGAGTTGATTAATCGATATAATAACTTTAAGCTGATTTGATATTCTGGCTAAGTTTCATTTTTTGGAAAGTTAAGATTTCTTCTTTCTGTTCTAGTACATTTTAGGCTTTCTTTCTTCTGCCTTACAGGGTGAATTTTATCTTTTTTTTAGCGATTTAAATTGAGAGGTTTAGAAAATGACATGAGGTTTGATTTGTTTTTTTTTTTCGGT